AGGCAGTCATTCAATTCCCTACAAACCTCCTTACCTAGATTTTCTCTGGCACATGTTGTAAACAAAATGTGCCCTTTTCCCCTTATGGGGTATCCAAGAGCCCATATAGAGTCCTTACATAGGTTCCCTATTGGTAGGAGAAAATAACAGAGGCCAACCAGAGAATATTGAGAAGCAAAGCAGCTAGTAAGCCTGATCTTTATTGATCTGTTGCAACAGGGTGCTCCCCTCACACGCAGGGAAGGAGGAGGAACCCAGAACAAAGGTGTGTCCGCCCTTATATAGACATTTTAAATTGCCCTGCCCTGGAGCTCAAGACCACCCCTCCATACATCATACCTACATCACAGAAGGGGTGTAGCTCAAGACCACCACCCCCAGATACATCATACCTACATCACAGAGAGGACGGTCTACAGCAGAAATCTGAGTGCGTTGTTTATCTCGTCTGACAGGTTACCTATTAATGCTCACTTGATTGGATACCCTGGGAAGCCTGGCCAGTCTTTTGTAATGATAAATACTTAGTTCCTGAGCCAGGTCACAGGCTCACCCCATATAGACACAGACAGACATACCCTTAAGACAGGATTTGTGAAGGAAAAGACAATGGGGAGGCTTTTCCATTTTCCTTTGACCTTGCACAGAAAACATTTGGTCAGTCTGGGAATAATAAATGGTTTCAGGTCAGTCTTCCTGTGCTGATCTATGTACATGCTTGGTTGGTACATTTATGAACATTTAATATATATCTAAGACCTTAAAATTCTTACCACAGTGCGGAAATTGAAAGGCAGACTAGACCCAGCTGCAGACTGCTGTCTAGAGAGCAGAGCCACCACGAGGATAGCCGTGTGCCCCAAACAATCCCCTGTTTGGAAGGGTTATTAGAAAGCAGCCCTCCATTTGAAGGAGACCTCTGTTTGAAAGGCTGTCTGGTCCAAATCTGGGTTAAAGATTTAGAACCTTGAGCAGGAGCCTGGAAGCTGCCAATCAGCAGCTAGCACCTGAATAGCAGATGGTGTCAGTGTGAGAGGTGCTGCAATCCAGTTTAAATAACAGCAATCGCTGCTAAATTTGCATCTATATAAATTTAGCATATGCACATGATGTGCTGGCCTGTGTCCTCTTTCTTTTCTTCTTTGTGATGCAGAACTGGCCACTCTAGCCCACTTCAGCCAGGTAAGCCCACCTTGGCCCACTGACTCAAGAAGTTCCCCGTCACTTTGCCTCAGGATGCCTTGACTTTGTAGGCAGCAAAAATATTTTGTTTATTTATGATGTTTCTAGACCACCTTTCCTCCAAGGAGAACAAGGTGACAGACATGGTTCTCTTCTGTGCTTCATACTCAGGACAACCCTGCGAGGTACGCAAAGGTCAGAAACATCAGCCAGTGATTTGAACCCTCGGGTCCCCGGTTCAGTGAAGCAACCTGACCACTGTACCAAATGCTACATTGTTCTTCTTGCTGTTCACTATTTCTCTTAAGTTACATAACTTACGTTCATTTCATTGCAAAGGACACATCTAAACAAATCATAAGGGACGCGGGTAGCGCTGTGGGTTAAACCTAGGGCTTTCCGATCAGAAGGTCGGCGGTTCGAATCCCCGTGACAGGCTGAGCTCCCGTTGTTCGGTCCCTGCTCCTGCCAACCTAGCAGTTTGAAAGCACGTGAAAGTGCAAGTAGATAAATAGGTACCGCTCTGGCGGGAAGGTAAACGCCGTTTCCGTGCGCTACTCTGGTTCGCCAGAAGTGGCTTAGTCATGCTGGCCACATGACCTGGAAGCTGTACGCCGGCTCCCTCGGCCAATAAAGTGAGATGAGCGCCGCAACCCCAGAGTCGGTCACGACTGGACCTAATGGTCAGGGGTCCCTTTACCTTTTTAAACAAGTCATTAACTACATAACATTTGCAGATTTAAAACCAACAACAATATGATTGAATACTGATCGCATTCGCTTGACTGATATCCATTCCTGAACACAGATGAACACACCACCTGCAGCAATTACTACTTCCTTACTCACTTTTATCGGAATTTCCATAACATCCCTAATCATAAACCAGGAACAGATAGGTAGCCGTGTTGGTCTGCCATAGTCAAAACAAAAAAAATTCCTTCCAGTAGCACCTTAAAGACCAACTAAGTTAGTTCTTGGTATGAGCTTTCGTGTGCATGCACACTTCTTCAGAACTAACTTAGTTGGTCTTTAAGGTGCTACTGGAAGGAATTTTTTTTGCATAAACCAGGAATTATGGATTGTTTTCTCACAGTGTGAAGCGGGGGCAAGGAAGTGGTTGTGATTTGCTTGTCCACAGCAAGCCACCGTTTATGGCCAACCATGATGTGCAAACATAGCCAATGTCTGCTCCTTCAGCCCAGCTGTAGTAAAATATTATATGGAAGCCTTTTAGAAAACGATTTGTCAGATTCTTTTACCCATACACTACTATGTTCTCACTTGAAAGGTATAGAAATGATACATGGCATACCTCTGCCAGTCTTATGGATTGCAAAAGATTGCTCTGCCAGGATTTCGTACCTGGAACAGTAACTGCATCCCTCATGGCTGATTCACATATTGCTTTTTCCCTACATTTTGTAGATACTGGAATCATTTTGATGTTTTCATTCTTGGCACCATGGTGTCTGCAGAAAGTGGTAAACACATGACCCTATCCTGCAGTCACTACATATATTAGACAGAGAAGGAAGGACCATAGAATCATAGAATTGTAGAGGTGGAAAGGACCCTGAGGATCATCTCGTCCAACCCCCTCCAATGCAGGAATATGCCGCTGTCCCTTGCGGGGATCGAACCTGCAACCGTGCCATTAACAGCACACCACTCTAACCAACTGAACTATCCAGGCTAGCAGGTGACAGGTGTGTTTCACATACAGAAAATCCCAGTTTCAATCCCTGGCATCTCTGGTTGAAACAATCAGACAGATGATAAGAAAGAGATTTGGAGTTTGAGATTTGGAGAGCTGCTGCCAATCAGAGTAGACTAGACTGGGCTGAATGGGCTCAATGGTCGGATCTGGTATAAGGCAGCTTTGTATGTTAATGGTGTTGTATAGACCTTCCCCTCCCGCCTGCCAAGGTAGAGTGAGCAGCGGTGTAGCATGGGTTGTCAGCACCCGGGGCAAGGCAAGTAATTTGCGCCCCTAACCCATGGATTTGCACCCCCAACCTGTGGATTTGCGCCCCCTAACCCGCGGATTTGCCCTAACCCCAGATGTTGCGCCCGGTGCGGCAGGCCCCCCCTGCACCCACCACGCTACGCCACTGAGAGTGAGTCTTGAATCTGCAAAACAGAAGTTATCCTCTTTGTGCAAAATGACAGCTCAGGGCATGAAATACCATGTTCCTTTCTCTCTTGCTAGCCCACACTCTCCCAGTCTTTTCCAGATCACAGAACTGTAAACAGCCCTACTTTACGGCACTATAAGCAGACTTCAGGTATTGATAGCATCCTGAGTATGAAACTGAGTTCTAAGGATGCTTCCAGACAGGTGTTGTGGGGGCAGTGGAGCTCATGCATACAGGTTTTTCACAGCATGTGCATGGTGTTGTTGGCATCAAAATGCCAGCTTCCATTCCCTCCTTCCCCAATTTAACCCAATTACCCTTTCTGTTGCAAATCAAGTCAGTTGAAAACAACAACCACGATCCTGTTGCCAACCTCTTTCTGACATCTGAAAGACCTACTTGCAATCTTAAGCCCCCTGCATCTGAAAGCAACCTAACATTATATTATCATTACAGTTGCATGAAACTGTTATATCTGGCCATCAGCCATTCCTTTTCTAGGAAGATTGCTTGTTTAATGGCAAAGTTGTGAGTGGTTGTTGTTTTCTCAATGGGAGCTGAATGCTTGATACATATACAGAGGACGCTCGGGTTGCGAACGTGATCCATGCGGGAACCCAAAGTGTTCGCAACCTGCGTCTGCACGTCTGTGCACGCACGGGTTGCGATTTGGTGCTTCTGTGCATGTGCAAAGAACGATTTAGAACTTCTGCGCATGCAAAGCACGATTTAGCGCTTCTGTGCATGGAAGTAACCCATTCCGGTACTTCCGGGTTTTGGCAGTCTGCAACCTGAAAAAACGCAACCTGAAGCAGCTGTAACCCGAAGTATGACTGTATAGCGATTTCTCTTGAGTGTTGGCCATCAGAGCTTTGAGAGGGTGATCTCCAAAGCAAACAGTAAGGGGAGAAGCTAATGCAAGGTGTGTGTGAAGTACTCTCTTTCCTCCAAAGGATGGCGTGAGCTGGAACTTCTCACCACTTGGGGCAGGGCAGAGCACATATGTCTTCCTGTTTAGTGATTGGCCACCAGTTACTATGGTTGTTGTTCATTGGTTTGTTAATGTCAGCGTGGAGTGCAGGCCACACTCTTCTTGTCTGAGTGAGAACCAAAGAAAACAGTTTTCCAGTTTTGTTGAAATTGGTTTTGAGGGACTTGCTTTGTTTACATGCAAACAGAAGAAGCAGTCTCTGTGGGTGGATTGTGGGGGGTTGCCGTTGGGCTTTGGGGGAGCGACAATGCAGTCCAATAAATTTTGACTTAGAAGTCAGTCTCATTGAGTCAAATAGGACTTGCTCCCAAGTAAATGTGGATACAAACCACCATGCATCCACCTAGCTAAGTCAGTAGAGTATGAGACTCTTAAATTTCAGGGTTGTGGGTCAGAGCCCCACATTAGGCAAAAAGATTCGCAGGGGGTTGGACTAAATGACCCTCATGGTCCCTTCCAACTCTATGATTCTATTATCTTTGGCTCAACAAATACAGAAAACTATTACAAGTTTTCACAAGAAAACTGGCTCTGTAAAAAAAGTTGCCCTCCGAGCTTGCTATTCCTTGGGGAAGTGGGGTGCATATAAAAAACTGTGATTCTCTGCCTGCATGTTTACTAAAAACCATTTTACTGAGCCCCGCTGCTTATTAATTCTTCTCCTTTTTAATATATATTTTAAAAAACAGGTTCGAAGACCAGGGACGGAGTTGTTCATGGGGTTACAACAGGTAAGCCCATCACTGCATCTCTGTTTCTAAATCCATGCTAAACCTCCCACTTATCCCTTCAAGAGACCTTTATTTCTGAGTAGGCTCTGATTCATGGAGGCAAGTAGGTGTGGGATAAAATCAAGCATGCTGGAAAGCACACAACTCAGTCTTGCTGGGGAACAAATGTGCCCGCAGCTATAACTTCAGCACAGGCACAGAACCTTTTCTCTGTCAATGGCTGCATTTCCCATGGAACAATTTCCCTGGCCTATTGGGATGAGGAAGAAATTCAATTCAGTTCATATTTAAAGGCGAGTGCCTAACAGACACTTCCCAAAACAATACATGAACTGAATCACAACAATTCACACTTCTCTGCATTTTGCAGTGCTCAGTAATGTATATTAAAAATGCACATGCTAGGATAAAGCGTATCTAAAAGTGCACATTTTAGTGAAAATAAGATGCAAAGAATGTAGAGGAAAATTGCTTTGCAAAATTGTGTACTTTAGGCAAAGTTGCATATGCGTTTCTTAGGAGAAATTTGCACTAAAATGCTGATGAATTTTCAGGTGGACATAAAAAAGAAATCCTGCATTCTTCCCTGCCCCCCCCCTTTAGTGCCCAGCTCTATGCATGGGGAAACGTTAAGCGGGCTAGTAGCTGATCTTGTGTACTCTCCCTTCTCCTGCCCCGCAAAGCATAAAGTCCCGGGACAATGATAGGAGGATTGCAAATCTTTGCCATCCAGAGAAGGCTAAAATATAACATGCATAACGTATTTGCTCATGTATTCCCCCCCCCAAGCAGTTATTTAAAAGAAATAGGGTTGTATTCAATGGAGCACTAAGCGAAATGCTCCTTCACTGCAAGGATTTCTCCTTCTGCAAAGGAACGTTTTCTTCCTTTTTCTGCCCCCCACGAACCCACTAAGTCTAACATAAATCCCAAACCTGTTTGGAAAAGTGATGAAGTGCAAACCTGGAAAAATGAGAAACCAAGAGAAACCCAAAATTTATGGGCTCTCCTATCCCTAGAGGTTCCACATGCAAAGTTACATGCTCTGTCACTGATTCTGCAACCCAAGGAAAGGTAGGGTTGTGTTCAGGCCAGCAGGTCTCGACTAGCAGCTGCCACAGCGTGTAGTGCTGGGGGAAAGTCCCAACACGCCATGAAGTCTTGTGGAGAAACCTTCCTGAAGGGAGACTCATGCAGAGCCAACTTGCTTTCATACGATGTCGAGAGCTGCAAAACCAAAACCTGAGGGGATTTGCCTTTTGCCTTTTCCACAGTGGCAGAGAAAACTAAAGAGGGAGTGTCAAACGTGGGAGGAGCTGTAGTGACTGGCGTCACAGCCGTGGCACATAAGACAGTGGAAGGTGCCGGAAATATTGCCGCTGCCACTGGCTTTGTCAAGAAGGACCAGTTGGCCAAACAGGTTAGTTTACCTACTATAAATCTGAGAGGGATGGATTTAATGCTGATATTTTTCTGTGGTATTTTTATGCCTTTTAAATGCAGTAGCAGGGGAACCTGTGGCCTTCCAGATGTCATTGGGCTACCGATCCCATAATACTTGACCACTGACAACACTGACTGGGGTTGATGGGATTTGGAGTCCACAGCCCTGTTTTAAGATGGTCTACAACTTAAGCTCTCCCCCCCCATCCCATTTTTCTTTGCTACCTGTTTTTGTTGTTATGTCCAGGTAACTGCCGGACATATGATGGGATACCACACTATTATGTGTTGCCCTGCCCCTCACTTCAAAGAATTGTGTTAAGCATTACCTCATCCCACAATATACTCTGTCTGAGTCAGCACAATGCGCAGCGCTATGACAGCCAACCACGTGTTTGTTTAATATTTCACGCTTTTATATCTCACCCTTAAAGTAGATCAGGGCAACACACACGCTTCTTCTCTGTCCCTCTGCCCTAGTTTTATCTTCACATCGGTCTCTGTGAGACCAATATAGCAATTGGCTCACCCACACTCGGAGGTGAGTGTCGTTTCTGAGTCTGGATTTAAAACAAAGTGCCCCCAGTCTTAGGCCCCATAAGCACTATACATTTGTTGTTGTTGTTGTTGGCATCTGTCTGTCTTGAGAGACAATGGAGTGTGCCTCTGGGGCCAAAGTCAAACTGCTGGGGAATCGCAGAGCCTGCTGTGGCTGCAAAGACCGATAACTTGTGATGGCCGCCTCTCGCATTGTTTTTGCTGAGTTAACAGCACCAAAGTGGCCACCCCAGGGGTGCAAGCCATAGCAATGTGTATGGAGGTCCTGGACTGCCCAGACCACAAGACCCTTTTCTCAGCCTTGCTGGTGTGGTTCAAAGGAAAGCAGAGCAATACTTTTGACAGCAGCTTGGCTGCAGTAGTTGCCAGAGGGAGGTCTTAGCCAACGGTCTTAGCAATTTCACTCTGAATTTGTGTAGGGTTTACTCCTTAGCTTTTTCTTCTCCTGAAGATGACCCACGAGGTATTTAGAGCAGGATTGTACCACTGTAAACAGCCATGGCTTTTGCCAAAGAATCCTAGTTGTCAAGGGTGCTGAAAGTAGTTAGGAGACTCCCTGTTCCTCTCACAGAGTACAGGCTCACTGGGAAGAGAGATGGATTGTTCAGCTGCTCTGAGAATTGCAGCTCTGTGAGGGGAAAAGGAGTCTCCTAACACCTCTCAACTCTAACTTTTGCAGGGCTCTTTGGGGGAAGCCATGACTATTTAAAGTGGCTTGGTTATTCTTTCAATGTATTGTGCAGATGGAGGCTCTGTTGTGTGTGGAGCTGTGACTACCTCTGTGTTTCTCACAATGTTAAACTCCATTTTCAGTTTCTTGTCTTCTATAAAAGCCTTGTTGTAAGTAACTTCTCTCCAGAGAAATTGTAGTGGCATTTTTTTTAATTTTTATTTTTTGCAATTCTTCTCCACTTTATTATTATTATTATTGATAAACGAAACTGTGTTTTACTGTGCATTTGGTTTAAGCTTTTTTCTAATGCCATTTTCCAACATTTACAATGAACAAGCTATAAACCACAAGGGAACCTGGTGGATCGTGGTTAAGAAGAAAGCCTCTCTCTGTATTTTTTATTACTTGTGCATCTTTCACACAAGTAATACTTGAAATTATGTTGGAATCAGGAAGGTCGTTTTTATTCATTCTATCTGCATGGCTCTCAGAAAAAATACTCGTGTTGGTATAGCAAAGAAATAGGAAGACAACAGTGTGTGTTTGTGAACTGCTCCCTCATTTTGGCCTCACTCTCGTGGTCAACCCTCACTGGGGCTCTCTCCTGTAGGGTGGGCTCCCCCAATTAAAAGGAAAAGGGAACATTTTAAAAAATTTCCTCTACTTAGAAAACGTGGATTTCTCCCCGACTTTCCAGTATGTCTACAGCAAAGACGTTTGCATGACTATTGATCAAAATTAGCCCTATTAAGGCAGGTTTTGGGACAGCTAAATTAATTGTGCTACTATATCGTTTTTGGCTCTTTTGATCTGATCTTCTCCTGGCTATTTTGTTGTTGTTGTTTTTGACAGTGACTTATTGTATTTAGATTCTGCAATTGTGAGCCATTATGAAGGTTGTTGGGTTTAAGCCAAATCCTAAACAAGCTGACGTGCTAATAAAGAAAATTGGGCTGAAAATTGTGTTTACCTTACAATATGAAGATACTGAACAGCAACATTCCAAACTATTGGCAACTTGGAAATCAGAGTTCTTTTCAACATCTAACAGCTGCATCCCACAAGTTGGTGGGTGGATTGTTTCTGGATGTTGTTGCTGGAAAGAGTGCAAAGTTCTGTCATAAAAGTATGGCAAACTACTGAGTTCTCCAGAGATCTTCATCGAGCAAGATATTAACATAAAGTGTGGAATGTGCAAGCAGAAGAAAAAATAAAAAATGCAAAGAATTAGGTTAATACAGTAGCCATGAGGGCACTTTGTAGACACAAACAATGTTTGAGAGACAGAGCTGTAGTCTGGGAAGTTCCCACTCAGGGCTTGCTCCTGTTCTGAAATGGCAAGATGGCTTAAAATCATTATTGTCTCTTATTCCTCCCACCCCCTCGTCAGCAATATGAGAATTGTAATACTGCTCAGCCTTGCGGGGGGGGGGGGTTGAATAATTATGTGCTTAGATACAATGTATCTGTATATTACCTCCAACATCTACCGTATTTTTCGTCCTGTAGAGCGCACCGGCCCATAGGATGCACCTGGTTTTTTGGGGGGAAATGAATAAAAAAAATTTATTCCCCCCCCCCAGCCGCGGCTGCAGCCCCAAGCCTTGCGGACACCTGCCCGAAGCACGGAGAGCCCTCCGGAGAGCACCCCGTGCTTCAGGCTGCAGGCTGCTGCCCGCAAGCCTTGTGAGCCCGCGGGAACTCCTGCTGGGCTTGCAAGGCTTGCGGATAGCTTCCTGAAGCCTGGAGAGCTAGAGGCATCGGTGCGCACAGACCCCTCTCACTCTCCAGGCTTCAGCGAAAGCCTGCATTCGCCTCATAGGACGCACACACATTTCCCCTTCATTTTTGGAGGGGGGAAAGTGCGTCCTATGGGGCAAAAAATACGGTATGTGTAGACAAGTACAAACTGGGGAGTCAGAAAAGGTAGAGAAGGTATGTTGCTTTAGTCCCATCACTGATAAAATCAATCTTAAATGCAACTGATTCCCCCTCGAAACATTGATTCAGTATCATTTAAAGCACAACTTATTTAAGGATTATACCAATCTTCCATTAAATACTTGTTCAACCCACGTCGGGATGAATTCATGAGGTGAGTCAACAATGCAAGATAAATGCATCCGCCTCTAACAGCTTTTGCACTCACATGTCACAATAGCTTAATTATTTGGTCGTCTGCTAGATCCCAGTGGACAGTATTTTCATTGTCCAGAGCTCTCGAGGCATAATTTTAAAAGAGATCAGATCAGCTTCTAATATATACACAGAACGTCTGCCTTAGGGGGAAGAGGTGAAGGGAGTTTAAAAAGCACAAGAAGTGTTTATTACAGAGTTAGAGAAGGATTATTTTTCAGACTTTGAGAAGATTTTGTTCATCTCCCACACCCCACTGCAAACAGCTTTAAAAGGGCAGTCCCTGGAAAGGTGATTCAGCTGTGAGACACTTGTCCTGACATTCAATAGATGGAAGTAGAAGGATGATGATGATGATGATTGCCACACCCAGTAATACTTCAAAGTGCTAGGTTTACAATTGTGGAGGTTCAAGTGTGTTCTTCAGCTTGATCAGTGGTTGTATACCTGAAGGAGCGTCTCCACCCCCATCGTTCAGCCCGGACACTGAGATCCAGCACCGAGGGCTTTCTGACGGTTCCCTCATTGCGAGAAGTGAGGTTACAGGGAACCAGACAGAGAGCCTTCTTGGTAGTGGCGCCCGCCCTGTGGAACACCCTCCCTTCAGATGTGAAGGAAATAAGCAGCTATCTTCTCTTTAAAAGACATCTGAAGGCAGCCCTGTTTAGGGAAGTTTTTAATATTTAATGCTGTATTGTTTTTAACACTTGATTGGAAGCCACCCAGAGTGGCGGGGGAAACTCAGCCAGATGGGTGGGGTATAAATAATAAATTATTATTATTATTATTATTATTATTATTATTATTATTATTCTCTCAGAGTCTGCTGGCACATTAGGCTGCAAGAGGATCCTGGGTCCTTTCATGCGATATTCCTGTTTCCACAGAAGGCTGGCAAAGAAAAATAAGTCCTACCTAGAATAAGCCCCATCCTAGAAGCAGGAACAGCCTTTCAGTGTTGTATTATCCGCAGGTGGGGAAGTGGATCTGACCGACAGTCCGGATTCCACCCTCGCCAGGCCTGACAGGTAGGCAGGGTCACTCACCTGACAGACGCTTGGCATCATTCTGTCTGGTGACCTGTCTTCCTTTGCCCATTGCAATCCAGCACTTCTCAACCACCAGTGCTTTCAAACTCAGCGCCTTTGCAAGTGTCTATGGGGAAATAACTGGGGGATACCAATTAATCCTGAAGTCCCATATGTGGAGGGAAACCGCAAAAGAAAAAGGAAAATGGCTGCCTGGATTCAAGAAGAGCAGGGCTTGACTCCCTCTCTAGAGATTCCCACCAAAGGACTGTGATCTTGCATCTAGCTAATCTGCTCATGCACCCTTTCACTCCGCATGCTTTGATAGAGATTGGGTTCTGCTGGAGAAAGGAAGAACCTGCTTCCTGATTCAGAACCACAGCGGGCTCAGCCCTCAAGCTATTAGCATTTTCAAAATGGCGGCCCACAAGCTGAACCATGGAGAAGCAGAGAGGTCATATCTACTTCAAAGTGGATGGCTCCCCCCACTGAAGAATCCTGGGAACTGTAGTTTAGCCCTTATTGGGTTGCAACTCCCATCATGTTTAACAAACTACAGCTCCCAGGATTCTTTGGGGCAAA